AGGTATATGGGCAAAATAAATAAAATTTTTGGTAACTTATTAAATTGATCTTTTAACTATATTTTCAGTTTTTTTAAATTAAAAATTAGTTGCTTTTTACTAATAATTAGTTATTTTTTTCAAATAAATAGTTTATTTTGCTAATAATTAGACTTTTAATTAATTATTAGATATTTTTTTATAATAATTAGTTTTTTGTCCTAATAATTTGTTATTTTTGTTAATAATTAGTTTTTTGCTAATAATTAGTTATTTTTTACTAATAATTAGTTATTCTTTTACTAATAAATATTTTTTTTGCTAATAATTAGATTTTTAACTAATAATTAGTTATGTTTTTATAATAATTAGTTTTTTGTCCTAATAATTAGTTAATATTTACAAATAATTGATTTGTTTGCTGAAAAATAGTTATTTTTTTGCCAATAATTAGTTTATTGTCCTAATAATTTGTTATTTTTGTTAATAATTAGTTTTTTGCTAATATTTAGTTATTTTTGACTAATAATTAGTTATTTGTTCTAATAATTAGTTAATATTTACAAATAATTGATTTGTTTGCTGAAAAATAGTTACTTTTTTGCCAATAATTAGTTTATTGTCCTAATAATTTGTTATTTTTGTTAATAATTAGTTTTTTGCTAATAATTAGTTATTTTTTACTAATAATTAGTTATTTTTTTACTAATAAATATTTTTTTTCTAATAATTAGATTTTTAACTAATAATTAGTTATGTTTTTATAATAATTAGTTTTTGGTCCCAATAATTAGTTAGTTTTTACTAATAATTGGTTTTTTTGCTGAAAATTAGTTATTTTTTGTTAATAGTTAGTTTTTTGTCCTAATAATTAGTTAGTCAAAAATCACTCATTCTATTATTATTATTACTATTATTCTTATTATTATTATTATTATTATTATTTATTAAGTACAATGAAAAATATTTTCCATTCTAATTATATTCTCCTTTAATTTCAAAAACTATTTAACCATATAAAAAGTGATATTGTGTGTTAGTTTGAAAATTCCTTACTGCTTTACATTTGATTGGAATTTAATTAAAAGTGAAAGCAGAGAAGAAAATTGGAATTTCAGAAAGAAAGAATATTTGAAAAAGCTTGTAGTGCCGCCATCTCTGAGTTTATCCTTGAACGTGGATGGTTAACTTTGTTCACTTCACCATTCGAGAGCGCGCTATATGTACTTGAAAAAACATGTATCTCACTATTTTTAAATATATTTTTGAAAAATATTTAATTTAATTAGTAAAAAAAAAATTTCTCTTTTATCTAAATATAACAATATTATAATTAATAATATAAAATTTCTCCTTTCTTTTTTTTTTTTATATTTTCGAATTACTTAAATTGCGCCTAATACTTAGGCAACCTTAGAACTTTACTGAAAATATGTATGCATTGGAAAATTAAAAAATATTTGAATTTAAAAAAAATATTTTTGAATTAATCAAAATTTTTTTTTTTTTATAATTTAGTGGATTATAATTATTTAGTTTATTATTTATTTCTATTTGTAATTAATTAATTAATTAAATGTTTTTTCGTTTATTTATATTAATTAATTGTTTATTGTTATAAAAAATTAATATAAAACAAAAAAAGGGACAGAAACTATTATTCTTAAATTACAATTATTATCATTATATGAGAAAAAGAAATTAACTTTCATTTTCATTTTGACTGTTGTCTATATACTTCGTTTACACTCATTTTCTATATATATATATATGTAGCTTTCGACGTCTACTTTTAGCCATTCGAACGTCTGGCTTCGTTGCACTGGGCGCCAAGCAATAGTTTTATTTCTCTCACACACTCCAGAGTCTGGAACCAACCCCCAAACCGCAAGCTCCCTTCATCCACCCTTCTCCCCACTTTACTGAAACTTTCTCTATCTCTGTCGCTCTTCTACGTTCCAACAACTATACTATCCGTTCAGGAAATGTTTATTCTAGTCTTTTATGCTGTGTATTCCAAAAGGATTTTTTTGATTTTCGTAAACTTCAACTTCAAAATTGCCAAAGGCTCTTTCGTGGCAGGAATTTGTTTATAATAAACTGTTGCTTGCATGCTTTGAAATCTGAGCTTTTAATAACTTTTCCAAAAAGTATATAAAAATATAATTTCTGTCAAAAAAATTGTCTGACTGAAATGAATTTTTTCCTGCAATAATAATAAATTTTATAATAATTTTAAGGGTCTGACTTTAACTGTCTTTCACTACTGAAACTTTAAAATACACAAATTTTTTTGGTCTGACTTTAACTGACTTTTACTACTATATAGTTATAAGTACAAAGAATTTTTTAATTACTTTAACAATGTCAAAAAAAGAAAATTTATTAAAATACTGTCTGACTTTAACGGTCTCTTACTACTGATACTTTAAATTATAAAAACCTGTTTCGTCTGACTAAAATTGACTTTACCTACTAATAAATAAATTACACAAATTTGACATTCACCACTGACTGTACAAATAAAATTTAGTAAAATTTTGTCTAACCTTAACTGTCTTTTACTACTGAAACTTTAAAATTCAAAAATTCTATTCTGTCTGACTCTAACTGTCTTTTACTACTGAAAATTAAAATTACAAAAATTCTGTTCCGCCTGATTAAAATCTACTTTTACCACTAATAAACAATTACTGTAAATGTCTTTAGTTACTAATACTAAAATTATATAAATTTTTGAAAGCGAACTAAATTAATTTTTGGTTTAGAAGAAAGAAGGTAGACAAATTTTTTTAAAATTAAATTTAAAATTGAGATTATGAAAAATAAATTATAAAAAAAGTAGTAGGTAAAAACAAATTTTTAGTTTAGAAAATGAAATAATTAAAATCTAACCTTATGTTTTCATGATCGTCAAAATCTTACACAGCTGCTCTCATGGCATAGAGAAGGATGCACCAAAGTCACTGGAGGGGCCGACCGTACCGCAGCACCGCCTTTCGTCTTACTTTTGCCGTCTTACCATCGATTCTGCGGTTTTCTCTCTATATGTATACGATCAACAACCGTCTATATCAATAAATCATATTTTAATGTTATTATGTAATTGTACCAAAAATTATTAATTTTTTTATTATTATTATTATTATTATTCTTATTATTAATTATGTAATAAATGTTTGCTACTGATGACAAACATTTTAAAATGTTTCTTCCTAAAATGAAGAGAATAAGAAAATTTAAGGAAAACAATTCTTGTCTGACTATAACTGTATTATTCTACTTATAATTAATATTTTAGAAATTTACACATTTCGTCTGTGCAAAACTGCCTTTCCCTACTGACAAAATAGTAAGATTTTTGTAAATTTTTAAGCAAAACGTTTTTTTATTGTTGGTAAAATGAGATTCTTTTGGTCTGACTAAAGAACGACTCTTACTACTGATATGAAAGTTCAAAACAATTTTGTCTGACTAAAAGTGACTTTTACTACTTGTAAACAAAACAAAAGTGGTTTTGTCTGACTAAAATTGACTAGTACTACTTACAATAAAATTAGAAAAATTTTTAAAGTCTAAATTTTACAACTAACAGTAAAAATAATAGTTAGTAAAATTTTGTCTGACTTTAAGTGTCCGTTACTACTAAAACTTTAAATTATAAAAAGTCCATTTGGTCTGACTAAAATTGACATTAGCTACTAAATTACACCAATTTGAAAACTTTGACTTTCGCACCATTGACAGTAAAAAAAGAATTCAGTAAAATTCTGTCTGACTATAACTGTTCCCTTCTACTGTAAATTCAGAGAAAAAAAATTCTTTCTGTCTGTCTAAAATTGACATTACCTACTTATAAACAATTACAAAAATTTAGAAAGTCTAAATTTTTCCACTCAGAGTAAAAATAAAAGTTAGTAAAATTTTGTCTGATTTTAATTGTCCGTTACTACTGAAACTTTAAATTATAAAAAGTCCATTTGGTCTGACTAAAATTGACATTAGCTACTAAATTACAAAAATTTGGAAAGTTTTTCTTTCGCACCACTGACAGTAAAAATAGAATTTAGTAAAATTCTGTCTGACTTTAACCGACCTTTTCTACTGTAAAGTTAAATTTTAGAAATTCTTTTTTGTCAGACTAAAATTGAGTTTACTACTAGTAAAGAATTACCAAATTTGAAAACTCGTACTGTCACTGCTAACAGTAAAAATAAATACGTCAGTAAAATTTCGTCTGACTTAAATGTCTTTTACTACTGAAACATTAAAATACAAAAATTCCACTTGGTCTGACAAAAATTGACTTTTACTACTAAACAAATACAATCAATAAAAAAAACAAGAAAACAACAACAATAAAAACAATAAAATAATAATAAAGTGCAATAAAATTATAATTATCTTCATTGTGAAAATAGCATATATATATATAAATAAAGTTTCACAAAGCATTATTATATACAGCCGTCACGTTTGTTTGATTCAAGTGTTTCTTTTCATTCTTTTTATTTTTTTTTTTCGTTTGCCGCCGGTTCATATACAAGCTGGCCCTTTAACAAATTAACGTAAAAATTTCGTTGCGGAAAATGAGAGTACATATGGAAAGAGTGAACGTTTCCCCGTTTGGTATATATATATATATGTGTGTATGGTCGTAATAATAATTTTTACAAGCCCGCGAGTAATCAAGGCTGCATGTTACACATGTTCGTGCTGCCCCCCACCCCTTTTATGTCGGGAGGGACGTCCGCCGTTTTGGAGGGGGTGGTTTTTGAGCGGGAGGGGCGAATCAGGGAGGGAGTGAGTGAGAGAGAGAGAGTTGCAATTTTAGGGGGTAGTGGTTGGCGTGCGCGAGTAAGACAGCAATTGTGTGAAAGAGTAAACGAGAGAGAGAGAGAGAGAGAGAGAGAGAGAGAGAGAGAGAGAGAGAGAGAGCAACGATAAAGAAGAGGAGGAAGAGGTGTATAGTATTCCTATATATATGCTTTTGCTGCTACTGTTGTTGCCTGCTGCTTCGACTGCCAGTCCCGCTGTTGGTTCTCCCGTATTGTTGTTCAATCGAGCGTGTCCACAACCAAACGAATCTTTTTTTATTTTGCTTTATTTTCGTTTATCATCATCTCTCTTTCTCTCTTTCTCTCCTCTGCAGAGCCGAATTCGTAAACAAAATCCGCCCCCTCCCCCTCATCCCCTTTTTTTTCTCCAATGTCACTATCAATTATATATTCTCATGAGAGTTTTAACGAAGGTCATCATTTGTTGCATTCTTTTCAAGGACAATTTTGTGAATAGCATTTTGTTCATCTTTTCTTTTTTTTTTCATCAATAACAAAAAAAGAAAGTTTCAATTTTATCAAAAGAAAAAACAGTGCTTGGATATTAAGATTTAGAAATTATTTTTGACAAAAATTGTTTTTTGTGAGATTAGTTTTAGAGTGGAAAAAAAAGTGATTAGTGGAATTTATTGATTTTTTGATAAAAGGTGAGTTTATAATTATTTCGATAGACGATACAGTTTAATTATTAAGTTTTAAAAATTATTTAGTTTAACTAAATATATTTATTTGTAGTCAAGTAACCAATTAATTGAATAAAATAATTTTTTTTCCCCGTTTATGGATTAAGAAAATCAAATATTAAGAATGAAAGAAAAAATCGTTTTTTGCGGTTGTGCTTTAATGTGAGGGATAGATTACAATTGAGTATTTTTTTTTTGGATATAAGAAAGTGATACTTAATTGATATTAGGACAAGTAGTTGGGCTTGAGCGTTAATCGGAGCGTGACGAGTGGTAATTGAATGAAGGTACGGCATTTGCATTGACAAGCTCCAGTAGAGATAATTCGAATCTCGTCGAATGCAACCGTGCACACGAGCTTTAGGTCGTTTGTCAATACGACGATGGCCGTCCAAACGCGAGAGAATTCACATAGTATATATATATATATATATAGAAATGCTGTTTGTCACAGTAGATCTCTACTCGTTCAAATCGGCCGTTACCAAGTATCGAACACTCGTTTTAGATGTGTCCCAGAGTTGTTACTACTTGTCGCCAAAATTGGCTAACTTTGCTCTCTGTGTAAAATTGAGTTAAACTTTACCAAAAAAAAAACCAATACAATCTTTTTATGATTTTTTTATGATTCTTCAGAATTTAGTCATTTTTAAGGAAGAAAATATTTTTATTCTGTTCATAAAATTTATGAGTTTTATGAGTTATACAAAAACGATGAGTTTTTATGATTTATGAAATAAATTTTTGTATTATGAGTAATGATCAGAACTAATTTGTTCCTAATAAATTAATGAGTTTTTTTTGTTTCGATTTTATGAGTTTATGAGTTATCAGAGAAATGATAGAAAAAAATTCCAAAAGAAGTTGTTACTAAGTAAAATTGTGATTTTTTTTTATTTATAGATGTATTTTTATTTATTTATTTATACTGGATGTAAAAATAATGAGTTAGAGGTCAAGTAGTCATAAAATGAGAGTGATTTTTTTTTATTACTCAGGATTATTTGATGAAATTGAACTTGAATATAACGGGCTTTAGTTTCTGGGAAAATTTATATATATATATATGTTCGAGGCATCGATGGCAGAAGCATCAGCTTCACTTTTGAAAATCAAACACAGTAGCGTATTCTCTCGCACAGCAGACATTGTTTGTACGGATGTGCAAACATCAGAATCAACCTCCATCTGGCTGCGAATCTATAACCTATAGCGATATCCGACCGGATGTAGATTTGCCGATAGGCAAACGCTTCGAGGATCATTCAGAATACTGGAAAATCAATTTATCGCACTCTACAAAGAATCAAAGAGATTATAACGATTTATACAGTCATATATGATATATATAATGAACTTTTTTTTTACTGACTTTTCCTTAAAGGAACAATTTTTACTATTTTCTTTGAGTAAAAAATATAATTAAACGTTTTTTTTTACACTACTGATGCTAAAATTTACATAAAAATTACAAGAATTTAAATAGTCTGACAATAAATGTTTGCTACTACTGATGATAAAATAAGAAGATTTTCAAATGGTTCTGCCTAAAAAGAAGAATAAGAATATTTTTGGAAAAAATTTTGTCTGACTATAATTTTATTTTTCTACTTATACTTTAAAATCTAGAAATTTAATCATTTCGTCTGTGCAAAACTGCCTTTCCCTACTGACAAAATAGTAAGATTTTTGTAAATTTTTAAGCCAAACGTTTTTTTTATTGTTGATAAAATGAGATTCTATTGGTCTGACTAAAGAACGACTTTTACTACTGATATGAAAGCTCAAAACAATTTTGTCTGACTAAAACTGTCCTTTACTACTTGTAAAAAAATTGAAAATTATGAAAAGTTTTTTCTCACTAAAACTGTTTTCTAAATACTGATATCATTTACAATTAGACTGTCTGACCAAAACTTGCACTAACTACTGAAACGAAATTTATACCAGAATTTCAGTAAGTTTCACTTTTTACTATCACTATTTCTTAATTTTTTTTTAATATTTGGGACTACGTACTAAAAACTTAAATTTAACAGTGTTGATAAAATAAAAATAATTCAGTCTGACTACAACTGAGTTTCACTACTGGTATCAATAAACAGAAAATTCTTGTCTGAGTAAAATTTCAAATTTAAAATCAAATTGAGGACTATTACTAGTTTAGTTCTTTCATTGTTGCTAAACCTAATAAGTATGTCTGACTGTTACCTACTTTCTCTACTTGTAAACAAAACATAAGTGTCTTTGTCTGACTAAAACTGACTTTACCTACTTAAAAACAAATACAAAAATTTGGAAAATCTAAATTTTACCACTGACAGTAAAAATAAAAGTTAGTAAATTTTTGTCTGACTTTAAGTGTCCGTTACTACTGAAACATTAAATTATAAAAATTCCATTTGGTCTGACTAAAATTGACTTTAGCTACTAAATTACAAAAATTAAGAAAGTTGAATTTCCTACCAGTGACAGTAAAAATAAAATTTAATAAAATTCTGTCTGACTTTAAGTGTCCTTTTCTACTGTAAAATTAAACTTCAGGAATTATTTCTCGTCTGACTAAAATTGAGTTTTACTACTAATTTTTACTAAAAAAAATTTACTTTACTACAAAAATTTCGAAACTCGTATTTTTACAACTAACAGTAAACATAAAAGTTAGTGTAAAATTTTGTCTGACTTAAACTGTCTTTTACTACTGGAATTTTAAAATACAAAAATTCCCTTTTGTCTGACTTTAACCGACTTTTACTACTATCGTAATAACTGCAACGAATTTGTTATAAAGTTAAAATATAAAAATTCTTTTTGGTCTGACTAAAATTGAGTTTTACTACTAATAAACATTTTTAACTATAAGGCATTCGGGCCTGAGTCACGAAACCCTAAAAAGTGTGCCTCGCAGGTGGCGCCACTTTTTATATTGTTTAGCATTGACTCATTTTGAACCGTGACAAAAATGATTTTAGATTTTTTCACACAAATTTCGATAAAATTTAAAGAATAGTAGAATAAAAATTATTGAATTCAAAAAATTGTTAATAAATCAAATTCATTATAAAAATCGAATTATTAGACTAAAATCAAATTGAACCACAGTGGAATTGGAAAAAGAGGGAGATGGATGCAAAATATAAGAAGAACGTTAAAACAAGAATAAAACAGGAATTAGAATGAGAAAGATAGGAGAATACAGAAGTGAATGAGTGTGTGTGTGAGAGAGAGAGAGGGTGGGAAAAAAAGACAGAGAGGAAAAATCTGACACGATATAAAGCGATAAAGAGGCGAGAGAGTGCGGCAAGTTGAGAGAGAAGATCCTATCAGAGAGTGAAGAGAATTTCCCCCTGAAAGAGAGAGGAACGAAAAGCGGTGAGGGAGAGAGGGAGGTTTGGTTGGGTGTGACGGAGAGGGAAATAGAGCAAAGAGGTAGTAGAGAGATGTGAAGAGAGAGAGGGGCTTTTTGCGGTGGAGGGGTGTGAGAGGGGGGCGGGAGGGAGGTAGGTTGGAATAGCGGGAAGTAAAGGGGGAAAGGGATGCTGCGTGTGTAGACATGGACCAGTGCGTCAACGGCTGTTGCCTCACACGTACCGTCCAAATTATAGTTAGTGGCCCATCTTGTGCTTCGATAACATATTATATCATTCTTCAGTATTCAAAATTTTTCCTTTATTTTTCCAAAAAAAAAAATTTTTCTCCAAATTATAAAAAAAATCTACTTCTCGAAGAAAAGGCATTTTTTTTTTTTTTTTTTGCTAAAGACGCTAATTTATATTACAATTTAATTGTGTTTCATTTTTCTTGAGAAATAAAAAAGTAGTGTTTTATGTGGTGTTTGAAATTTTTTTGTGATATCTTCGAGAATATTTTTAGAGTAATTTTGAAAGGTGAAAGTGAAGTTAGACTCATGAAAAGAGGGGGAAAAAATGTTTGCAAATAATTGAAATAGTATTGAAAATTTAAAGGATTTTTCGACAAAAAGATGATCTACTGGAGTGATTAGGTGACAAAATTATTAGTTAATTTAGTAGTTTATTTATCAGTTAGTAATTAATAGAAATTTATTAGTATTTGCTAACTTTTTTTTGCAATTCGTATATGAAAATCCAAATTGTTTTAAATTTAAATTTTTCGATTATTTGAAAAGAATAATTCTTTTTTTAAGATCTGAAATAAGAAAGAAGAACGAAAGAGATTTGAATGCGAAGTTAAGCGCGAACTTAGTCACTATATACAAAATTTCCTCAGAAGAAAATATCTTTTTCAAGATATTTTTTTTGTTTCATATAAAAAAACTATTTAATATAATTTATACTTTTTTTTTGTCAAATTTTGTATAATTTTGCCTTGTTATTTTTTTCCACATACTTTCTTATTTTTGTAGAAAAAAAATTTGTCGTAAACAAAAATTAAAAATTGTCTCTCGATTCTATTTTTACAACATCAGTTTTACATTCCAAAATAAAATTTTTTAAATTCAAAATAAAAATAATATTGCAAATTCCAGAATTTTTTTTCTCAAAATGTTTTAATTTTATATTTCTATATCGATTAATAAACTCAAAAATGAATATTCAATATTTAGTTTCTTCTCCGCAGAGTAGGGAAAAATTTCAATAATTTTTTTTATTAAAAATAATATTGCAAATAGCATTTAATATTTAGTTAATAATTTTTATTTTCAATATAGGAAATAAAAAAAAGGAAATTTTTTTTCACCTGTAAAAACAATTGGAATGCAAATTTAAAAATTTTGTGAATGAAAATCGTTGTCGGGATGAAAAAAGAAGAAAAAAAACAAAAAAAAAAGAGAACTGTTTAATAGGGACAACGTGTACGCGAGATTCAAAAACCACGTGCAAGTTTGACACACGGACGTGCGTATAGAGGAGTTAAAGTGTTCCGGGGGTTGCGTTTTCAACCCCTGTGATCTTTTTTCCCCTGTTTTTCCCCTATTTTTTCCTCCCACCTAAAACGAGCTTGATTCTTTCACTCTCTGTCTCTCTTTCTCTCTCATATACTCTTTCTCTGTTTGGGATCCGACGTGTCACGCCGTGTGACGTGCGCAAAAGATTACTGAATGAACGGTGACGTCACCGAAACCAAAAGAGAGGGAATGAGAATGAAAGGGGGGTTTGGTGGAAAAAAAAAGAACAGGAGAAAGAGCACAAAATTGTCGAGTAAAAAGTGTGCTATATACATGTATATATAATGGAGAATCAACCATTGGAAAACGCGAGACTTGAAATTTACCGCAAGCGTCGGCAACGTATATTTATAGGAAGCGCAAGGTTTTTGTTAAAAACGGGGGGGTGGTTTTTGGCAATCGTGAGATAAAGGCGCATTTACAAAAGCCTTCGTTAAATGAATTATAAAGATGAAAAAGGTCGTCGAAAATAAAGGGTGACATTAAGGGCGTGCACTATGAAAAATGTTTTTAAGATGTCTAAAATTATGTACATTATATAATTGACACATTGTATTTTATTTAAAAATTTTTTTTAGATTTTTCTTTTAAATTTTCAGTTATTTGTTATTATTTCCGAAAAAATAGAAAATCGGAAAATTTATTTCTGTATATAATAATAATAATATAAAAATAATTATTATTTAAAAAATAAATAATTTCTTTTTATTTAGTTTTACATTCTAAAATAGCTTCTTTGTAAATTCTCCAAAAAAAATGGGGAAATAAAATTCGGCATTATATTATAATTTCTTTGTTCTTTTTATGCTGTTTAAAAGAATATTTTATTACCATGATGGTTTGTAAAAAAAGCAATTCAATTTTTTTTTTTTTGGAAATAAAACAGACAAAGTTTATTTAGAATATAATAAAATAAATTGCAATAGCATATGGTCAATTTTATTGCCACGATATTTTCGTATTTCATAGTTATGAATTTTACTTTATAATAGATGTGAAAAATTTTCTAAAATTAGCAAATTCTATTTTATTTTAAAAATATTATACAATTTAAATTTCTCATAATTGAAAAAGATATTTTTGCTCTATTTCAAATTTTGTATATTCATGTTTCCAATTGATTTAGCCAATTTTGTTAGTGTGTGTATGATTTGAAGCAGAAAGTAAATTTCAGACAAAGTAAATTTCATAATTAGTTAACATTCATTTTGAATAGCGATTGTTCGTTACAATCAAATAGACGCTATTCAATTAATTATAATTATTTAGTAAATATATATATATATTATTTGGTTTTTGCGTATAAGAACAATTTATTCATATTTTCACATTGACCAATAATTATTACTCAATTAAGCTATTCTATGACATTATATTGATTTTCAAACCTTTGGAATTCAATGAATAACACATTGAATTTTTCACCAACTTCCGAAACAATTTATCGAAAATTGTTGGCATTTCAAAATTTTGAGAATTTTAAGAATTCTAGACGAAAATTAATTTTTGCAAATAAAAAGCAACAACTTTGCAAAAAAAAAAAAAAAAGAAAGAAAAATTGAAACAATTTGGTTTTGAAAAGTTTTTATATAAATAAAAGGATATTCATTTTCTGTAGACTAATTATGATCAAATAATATTTTTGAGAGTTTTTGAACTAATATTAAAATTACAAAAATTCTAATACACAATCTGACTTTTACTAAAGATTTACAAAAAAATTGTCATGTCTAACTAAATCTAATTTTAACTACTGAAACTTTAATTCTACGAAAGCGTTTTGTAAAAAAAATTGCGTCTGACTAAAATTAACAGTTACTACTTAGAAGAAAAATATCAAGAATTTTTAAAGTATTGTCTGATCAAAAATGACTCTATCTACTGAAACTGAATTTATACCAGAATTTCAGAAATTTTTATATTTTACTGTTACTATTGTTAAGGTTACTTTTTTATATTTGGAGCTTCTTAATTGAAAAAAACATAATTTTAACATTGTTGATAAAATAACAAGCATTCGGTCTGATTACATTCGATTTTTACTACTGGTACCAAAACAAAGAGGAATTTTGACTGACTAAAACTGTCTTTTACTACTTATAAAAAATTTTTGCAAAGATCTGTAAAAATTTCTACTAATTTTTAATTATTTTTCACTCAAATTTTAGTGAAAAAATTAATATTACTAAATTACTAATATTCAATCATACAAATACTATATATATACGATCCTACAAATTATATATAAAAAAAGAAAAATAAAGAAAAAATTTTCATTTTGTTTACAGTTTAAAAACGCCCGTGATTCAATGTACCCTATCGTAAGAATAATGATTGCATTCATCAACAAGGAATCATCAAATTATTATTCATTACGACGATAATTGCTTGCAAAGAGTAATGTATCTGTCAAAGTTGTCCGCATATCAGAGAGCTCCAAGAGGCATTGGCTCCGATCGGGACAATCGTCACGTTACCTCTCGAGAATCCTGAGAGAGAGATTTTAAATATTTATAGTGAATACAAAAAAAAAAATATGCCTTCCACCAATAAGAAACGACGAGACGATTTTTTCGAAGAACAAAAAAGACTTCTTTAAAGCGAAAAAATATTTGACTTTTCAGAGACTGAGAAAAAAAAAACAAAATAGAAAATAAAAATGTTAGGCCCCGAGGTTTGACTGAAGGGGGTCTCCTTGCTCCTGAAGGGTGAAGAGTCCCCCTTGGAAGAAATAGAAGAAGAATAAGAAGAAGAAGAAGAAGAATGTTTCACCCGGTGTTCTGACTGCCTATGGATATATTCGGCCGTTGTAACGGCGTTGGTGGTAGCAGTACAATAACCGGAAGTGGCGTTAGTACAGCCAGAGTGACAAATTCAGAATCGGGAAGTGGTGTTACTGGTGTCGCGAGTGGAACTTCAAGTGGAACTGTGGATAGCAGTGGAACAGGAACAGGAAGCAGAATGCAGTTAACTGGAGCATCGGCACCTGGTGCAGCAGCTTCACCAGAATCAGGAGTTTCTCCACTTGCCGATGCCTATACAAAAATGACAAGTGATATTTTGGCTGAAAGAACATTAGGCGATTCGACTGGACTTTGGGGTGGTGAACATTCTGGTGAACTCGTCAGAACGGGTGAGCATTTTTTCAAAAAAATAAATAAACAAAAAACCTCACCTAAGTAGCATAAAAAAAAACCTAATAAATTATATTCTTTACTATTTTTTTTATTATTTTTATATTCTTTATTATTTATTCTTTTGTTTCAAAAAGTCAACAAAATTGATTTCCCTTTCTTTATATTTGAAAATTTTGACAAAGCAATTTTTACTTACACTGATTTTAATTGTAATTTTCACTTTTTCTTCCACTGATTAGAAAATAGTGAAAGTGAAAATTAGAAATGCAAGGAAAAAATTAGAATCAGTGGAAGTGAAAGTGTAAATGATCATGAAAAGTATAATTAGTGGAAGTGAAATTGTAAATGAAAATTATAGTGAAAAGAATAATTAGTGGAAAAGGAAGTCAAAGTAAAGATTAAATACAGTGGAAGTGAAAGTGAAAATGATAGTAAAAAGTAGAATTAGTCGAAGAGAAAGTGAAAGTAAAAAAAATTAGTAAAAAGTAGCATTAGTAGAACCGGAAGTAAAAATCGTATCAGTAAAAGTGAAAGTCAGAGTGAACTCAGTGAAAGTGAAAGTGAAATTAGTAAAAGAAGAATAGGAAGTGAAAATACGAATGAAAATTAGAATTAGAGAAAATGTGAGTGAAAATGAAAATGATAGTGAAAAGTAGAATTAGTCGAAGAGAAAGTGAAAGTAAAAAAAATTAGTAAAAAGTAGTATTAGTAGAACCGGAAGTAAAAATCGTATCAGTAAAAGTGAAAGTCAAAGTGAACTCAGTGAAAGTGAAAATGTAAGTGAAAATGATAGTGAAATTAGTAAAAGAGGAATAGGAAGTGAAAATACGAATGAAAATTAGAATTAGAGAAAGTGTGAGTGAAAATGAAAATGAAAGTGAAAAGTAGAATATAAATTGGGAAATCAAAATATTTTTTTTGGAAAACAAAATAGCAATAGTAAATTTTCAAAAACAGTTGTTTTTTGTTTAATTAATATCTCTGAGAATAATTTGATTGTTTCTTTTTTATAATTTCTTGTATACGTTTAAAAATTATTATTTAGGATTATTTTTATTATTATTTTAGGATCACCGCATTTGGTGTGCACGGTTTTACCGGTTCATTGGAGGTCGAACAAAACACTTCCGCAGGCATTTAAGGTCGTAGCCCTTGGCGAAGTTGGGGATGGAACCTTGGTAACAGTTAGGGCTGGAAATGACGAGAATTGTTGTGCTGAACTTCGTAACTCTACCGCCTTGATGAAAAATCAAGTAGCTAAATTCAACGATCTTAGGTTCGTCGGTAGAAGTGGACGAGGTGAGTTATTTTGAAAATTTACAAACTATTATAAATATTATAATTAATAATGAATGGTGAAGGAAAAAGAATTAAATTCCTAATAGAATAAAAATTTATTTTTTTGTTAAACAAAAAGAAAAGTTACTCTCTATAATCTGAATTAGTAAAAATGTTTACTAATTTGAATTAGTGACTCACTTTTTGCTTCTGAATTAGTAAAATTTTACTAATTCAGAAGCAAAAAGTGAGTCACTAATTTAAATTAGTAAACATTTTTACTAATTCAAATTTAGAGAGTTAGTAGTTCAAATTTAGACATTACAAAGCAATATTCTGATTGAACGAAGTAGAAATAAAAAAAAGGATTTTTAATTTAAAAATCAAAAACAAATTACATAACTTTTGTCGATTATGTTGCGGGGTTTCGGTGAAATAAGAGGGAAATCCCCGAGTATCAAAGCGAGAAGATTTCACAGAATCACGATCCAGGGTGTTTTGTGGTTTAATAGAAAGGTAGAGAAAGAGAGAGAGGGGTTTCATTCATAAAACTTGAAAGTCGACCCCTCTGTTGACAGAACTACAACAGAGGGGATGAAATTGGGGATAAGGATGATAAGAGTGGTAAGAGGTGAGTGAAAAGGCTGCGAAGGTTAAGACGTAAGGAAAGACGTTCAAAGAATGTTTTCTTCGCATTAGGGTAGGTCATGATATCCCTCTCTCTCTCTCTCTTTCTCTTTCGAGTCACCCTTATTTTTCCTCACCCTCAAAGGAGAAAAGTCGTCTTCTCTCTTAAATACAAGATTTGAAGAAAGAGGGAAAGAGAAAGAGAGTTTGAGGCTAAAATTGCGACGTCTTCAAGAATTAGGAGTGGGTAATGGGTTTTATTTGTCCGCACTACTACCAACATCACTATATACTGATGGTTTTCACTTTAGCTCTTCCTCTCTACTTTAGTTTCAACGAAGAAAGGGGTTGGAAGAAGCGGTACCGGAACGATGATATTAATTGAGGTTTCAGGCGCTGGTTTTAATTAACGTTATTAGCACCGGAATTTCAACGTCGCTGCGAGTTTGACTTCCAACAGAGGATAAATTATTTCACTTTGTTAGTCTGATTATTGCCGTACATCCTAAATATACCCTTCAACTTTACTTAAATTTACCTCTGAATATTCGTTATAAAAAATGATTTTTTTTTTTCAATTATACATTTTTCCAGACACTACAGAAATTTTTTTTTTTTCGAAACTAACTGTAAAGATTTTATTTATCAATTTCTATTTCACAAAAAAAAAACTCATTTTTGTTGCAGTTCAAAATGAGCCACATAGAACGTGGCGCCATCACATTTTTGTTGCACTTGAAAATTTTTTAAATTAAAAAATGTAAATCATTAAATTTATTTTGGAATTGATTATAATATTGGAAGAGAGAATGTTTCTTAAGCTCTCTCTCTCTCTCGGAAAATGCATCGCGTGTCGGGTTAAGAGAATAGTTACGCATTCACGATAGTACCGTAGAATAATCAAGCAGCAGCTAAGGAACCGTAGGATCTGTCAGGAGAGACTTCTCTTACATCCTTCATCCTAGCTTATGTTAATTCCCCTATACCCAGTGAAAACAATTGAGAGCTAATCCCAGACAAATGACTGACGGGCTTCCTTGAAATTCGAGGGGAAAAGGGATCATCAAAAAAAATTTTTTTTCAAACTTTAAAAAAACAATCAAATAACTGAAAAAAAAAATTATAACTTTTTTTAATAATTAAATTAAAATTTTATAATCATTCAAATTTCATTGTTTATTTATTATAAGTTTTAATCCAATTACAATACACGCACTAATAGTGAAAATTCATTATGCCTATCACAAGGGGTTAGGATTAATTCCACCCTAGACAGTTCTAAGCTCTTTAACGAGATGGATCATTTGGACTATAAACATATATTAGTTTATAATTCAATTTAAAATTTAAAAAAATTTTAAAAAACATTTTCTTTTTGAAATAAATATTTTCTATAAATGTTGAAGAAAAAAATGTTTAATTTTAAGAATTAATAATTTCATATATATATATATAAATTCAGTCCCTAGGGCTCTTTAAATACAATTTCGAGTTTTCCTGAAAGAAAAAAATGTGACGTACTCTTGTATACACGACAGAGCCATTCGGACAATAATTAATTTGACATCAAACTATAATCGAGCAGTTGCTGCTTGTTCGAGGGAAAATTGAAATTAATTAATTGTCCCTGCAGCGCGCTCTTCTCTAAAGAGATATATGGAGAGACGGACGATAATGGTTATAATTTTCAAAATGTTGACAATTACTTTTTTTAAGTTTCACAAAAAAAAGAGAATCAATTTTTTCCAAAAAGTTTGATGAGATGAAAATTATTTTTACATCATTATTAATGATAATTAAATGACAAAAGTGAGTTATCACTTGTCTTTATATGTAACATGAAAATATATCCAAAAGCAAGAGTTATCACTTGTCCTTACTGAAATCTCGCTAGCAGTTCTTTTTTTTTTGCCAAATTTCTATAAAACAACAGGTGTATCATCCTCTGATTTATTGTATTCGTCACAGTTGAAAAGCGGAACTACACCTTGTTTCAAAAGCCAGGAAAACGTCAGGAGAATGAAAAAGTGTGAAACAAAGAGGGAAATGGAGGGTTCGATCACTACAATGGGGGTAAAACATTTAAAAATCTACATACAACCCCCTTGGTTAGAGAAAGGGGGGTTTTTTTTTTTTTTTTGAAGCAGAGAGAAAGAGAGGGGACACGAAGCAGTGAAAAGAGGAAAGCTAGACTTTTAATGGTTCCTCAGCGGCTGGCACCGAGGGTGATACTCATGTACCTACACGTACTAGCTACCACCCAACCTTATCCGCAATCGTGTACCTACCGAGTATATATATATATATACACACAGTACAGTAGGTGAAAAAGCAGACAGGCTGGTTGGACTTCGAGGGTGGCGTGACTCGGTTCGTAAACGAGGGGAAACCCCGGGGAATGAGAATCTCGCGTGGCGAACCACGGTGTGGCCACGCTCGACACTCGCCGTTATTATTCCCGGGTACTTCTGAACCTTGATGTTGATACCTCTTGAGCGTTATTGAGATTTAAAATAAAAAAAAAAAGAACACATTTTCCCTTTTTTGTGTCAGTTGCTACAAAAACGTTTACACGAATCGTATATAATTTTCATACGCAGTAGGTTACAAAATAAAACTGTTATATTCAATTTTAAAAATGATAATTAAAAAAAAATTATAATTTCAAAGAGAAACATTAAAAGTGTAACAAATTTGTGCTTGGTCAAAATGGGTAAACTACACGTAAAGTATAAAACTGTACCAAATTTCAGCTCTCTAGGTAAAAATGGCAAAAAGAGAGCAACGCAGTTCTTTTTATTTTATGATTTTTGAGTAATTTAAAATCACTTTTATTCTAAGACATTTTTTAGCAGATAAATTCCAAAAATGTACCAAAATCCAGCAATCTAGGTCAAAATGGCTAAAATAGAAAGAGGGCGCCACTGTCTATGTGATAGTTAAAATAACACGCAACAGAAATAACACTTCTTTTTTTCTTATAGAAATTGCCCTACCAGGGCCCTAGTAGGGAATGAAACGCCAAATCGGGGCGACCAGAAAATGTGGATTTCCTCATCAGGGCCACATCAAGCGCGGCGTTTCATTCCCTAATAGGGCAGCCTGATCCAGTCTCAATCTGGGCACAAAATGTATTTTTGGCAAAAAAATCATTTTTTTTTAAAAACAAAATTATACACATCTCGGTAATATAATTTTCTATGCGAAAATCAACATATAACAGTAATTTTTCCAAACAACATAGAGTTATACATAACACAGATTATTTGCATGTTGGTTTGTGTTTTGTCCGGTGTTTCGTTTTCACGCTCGTTGACTGCAGTGAAAAGAGTGAGAGAGAAAGAGAGAGAAAGAGAGAGATGAACGAGCTTGTGAAAGAAAGAGGTATAAACGAGGAAATGAGAGAGTAACTGTAGGTTCGAGGGATATGTATGTGTATGTAAGCGAATGTGGATGCAGCACATGAGGAGAGAGGAGCCTAGGTGGAATTGCGGTGAACCTTTGCGTGTACCCCCCGGTTTTTGCCCACCTGCATTTTCCGTGGCAACGCCAGTTTTTCCACAAACTGTATATATTATTTTTGTTAATAAGTTATTTAAATGAACATTTATTGAATGATTACCGAAAAGTAAATCAGTCTTTTATTCTCCCGTCGATACATTACCGACAGATAATTTGGTTAACAGAGTTTCAGTATATAACCACATTAACGAACTTTTGGCACGTCGCATACAACTTGGGTAATATGGAACTTTAAACTACTATAGCGGTCTTTCAGACCAAGTTTATTACTTTTTTTTTTTAAGGTACAATAGAAACTTTTTGTGTAAAACTGTTTCAAAATTTTATATCAATAAAATAATGTTTATCTAGCGATCTGTAATACCGGCATAGTAACTTCTGCGCATCTTCCTACGCAACTGGTTTTGTCTATCGTCATAACCTGCAATGAGCGTAATTTTTTAATTTAAACTGTTTTTGAAAAAATTATTTAGTTGAAAATTAATTGAAGAAATTATTTTTTTTTTTGTTATAGGTAAAAGTTTCACATTGACGATAACGGTATCAACAACACCTCCTCAAGTGGCAACTTACAGTAAGGCAATAAAGGTGACTGTCGATGGGCCACGTGAGCCCCGTTCCAAGACCAGTGAGTATCACTGTAAGCATTATACAATTTCCTTATTAATTTTTATATATCTAAATATAATTATAAAATTTTTGTTTACATTTTTTTTTACATATTTTTAGATTTACAATCGAATCCTAAATATATTTCTTTTTGTAATTAATTTTTGCGGGGGAAAAAAAAATTTCGAATTGGAAGGAATCGAACACAAACTCTCTGATTAAACGGCAGAGCATTCTAACCACTGAGCTACTTTTATATTCTAAATTTTTAATTCTGCTAAAAGCGAAATTATGCATCAAGATATATTTCTAAGAACTTGTAGAGATTTTCGTGGACATTTGTATATATATATGTGGCCCTATGAACAATATTCTCATACCTATTTTCAAGTTGAGAATAGGTCGTGTGCGGTTCCCCTTAGGTCGACTATACCTAAGTTCTCGCAATTGCCATTATTTATAACAGTGGTGAGAGTACAGCATTGATAAAGGGATGTGGCGGTGGCTACGGAGATATTGTTGTAGGCTACCGCCTACAAACTTTACACCATTTCAGAGGGACTCCTTACCTACGACTTGTGCCAAGACATACAATTACCGTTACTCTGTTATTCCCCCCCCCCTCGAGAATCGCGAATTAGAGAGTGAGACTAACTCAAAAGTTACATATGACTAAAATATATCTTCATTCAAAATATGTTACACACTCTGAAGAGTGGGGAAGCAAAAAATATTTTTCTAATAAGGATCCTTAGAAACGGTTACTATGGTAACGGAAATCGAAAAAAATATAAATTTTTTACTTTAAACAAATGTGAAAGCTAAAAAAAAATTGTTTCCATTTTCTATACAGAACTCTAAGAGAATGTTTAAAAATAAAACTTGATTTTTTTGTTGTTGCAAAAATTAAAAAGATTGTTGATTCGGTGGTGCAAGCTCTTATAATTTAAAACGACTTAAGTGCCAAAAATAACTGGCTTTTACTATAACACTGAGTTTTGCTTCCCTCTGACGTTTAACCACATCCGTTTTCGCATCTGCGGACCACCCGCTAACGATTTTTACCGCATAAATTTATATACTTAAATATATATATATTTATATTTCCATCTTTAGATAAATTATTCCGACCAAATATAATATTAATAAAAATTTATTTTTCAAATTATAAATATTTTTTGGAAATGTTTATTTTTTTTCGAAGTTTAGTTATAACAGTAAAAAAAATTATATTACTTTTTTTTTTAGTAATTATTGTTTCAAGTAATGTTTAATGTAAAAAGAACCGTTTAGCAAAAAAAAAAAAAAAAAAAATGTGTTTTATACACTTCCCTGTTGGAGGAGTGTTAAAAATAGACCACGACAAGCGGTGCTTTGGATCTTTTAGTTAAAATAAACCATTGGCCGAAAATGATGTAACGTTTGCTTGATATTAAAATTAAAGGGAAATGAGATGAAAGGATAGAGATAGAAAGAGAGGCTTTTGGGTGGGCCAAAAGTACTTCTTTGATATTGATACCTAGAGACAGTAAATGGGCACCTTTGCTTCTCTCGTTTCCTCCTCATTCTCCGCACAAGTTTTCGTTTCCACTCACTAATTTTCAAATAATTTCTTAATAAACATTAAAATTTGAAGAAAATAAATATATAAAAAAAGAATTTTGTAAACATTTTTCTTTTCTTTTAAAAAAGGGGTATTTCATTACTTAAAAAAAAAAATTTCAATAAACGAGGAAATAAAATAGAATATTTTAAAACGGGTCCATGACGCGAAGATGGATGCGTCTTGGACTTGGCTCGCATTCAGTTTGACCTAGGAAGGGTTGTAATTAATTAAACAAGCAATTCATTACACATTCAACCCTCACAACTTGACTCCAAAGGCACCGCACAGAAGAACCAACCCCCTGCAAGAAAATTGATTGAGAAGGGTTTTCGAAGCCTTTTTAGCTTTTAAAAAGGTCTATTTACTTTTTGAATACGATTGTTGTATAATTTTTGCAATAACCAAGAAATGTTAAAAGTTTGATAAAAACTTATGTCAAAACTTATCTCTCAGGGAAAAAAAAACGTTAGCAAAATAGTTGCGGGACATGAGGTTTTATAGTGTCTCGAGACAGTTTATATATATATATATATAGTAGCAAATGAGAAACTGTCGTTGCCAGCTGTTTTAGTCGCGAGAAATTCCCTGACAATAAGAAAAAGGGCCAACGACCATTGAAATCAATAAAAAAAAAAACGAATTCCTATTTTTACAGAATAAAAGAATTTTTTGTTATTAACGCCACATCTCAAATTTTTATTTGAAAAAAAAAATTGCTAATTAATTAGAGCCTTGTCGGGCTATATTTTCGAGGGGCAAATAGGGAAAACTAGACACTACCCCATCAGTCCCAAATTTCAATTTCTATATACCTCTAGGTGAAAAAGTTCAAAATTTATAAACTTTAAAAGTTTATTAGTTCAATAAAATCGAATTTAGAAAATAATCTTAATTAACTTTAATTTTTCTCTAATTAGACTTTTTCACAGAAATATAAACGAAGTTTTTTTTTTTCTTTCAGTTTTTTTTTTTGGAGAAACCTTCCTATCGACTCTGTCTCTCGAGAGACAAAGGAGTCAGTTTTATTTCCCGGTTTTACCACTGTCACCAACCCAATTAAAGGCGTCCCAATAGAGACACGACGGATTGGAACAAGCGTTTCTCTTCCAGTAACGCCAGAACCAGATCGAGTCACACAACCCTTGTATCGGCAATATATATATATATATATATATATATATAGAGAAAGAGAGAGGTTAGGTGATTCGTTTCGTATATAGGGATTCCCAGAACGAATTAATACTGTCGCCGTAGAAAGACACAAGAGACCCAAGCTGTGAGGCTGAAGCAGAGTTCTGATAATCCAATCGAAGCCCCCAATTCTAATTCGGCAACCCGAAATTCTCGCTCGCTCAGTTTAGCTGCTGAATAGGGAAAGCGGGTTCGATTCCAAAAAGGACATACAATTGGTTTCGAAAAGTGGGTGGGTATGCGGGTATAAAATAGGAAAATTTCCTTAAAAATTATTATTTTATTTTTAGATCGTGAATTTATGTTATCATATAAAGTACATGCTTGCAAAATTGGCTAATAGAAATGTGTTTACCATTCTCTTGATAAATTTAATAAATTATAGCTTTCAAGCATCGAATTTATCACGCCACCCTTTTGCGTGTAGATGGAAAGGGGGTGATTTTCTTGACTGTATTTCATTAGGTTTCACTATATGCTCTATTACGTCTATATATAATTATATATTTATATCCCTTTCCAAATTTATTGTCCAAGAATTGTGATGTGGAAAAATTTATTTATTTCACAAATACTGTATTTACTAATTATTAAATTAAAAAATTGTTAATCGAGAAAAATAAATTTTTTTGATTTTTTATATAGTTCTAAGTGCAATTTTATTATTATAATAAAAAATTATGTTTATTAAATTATATAGGTAAGTTTTAGTGAAATAGTTGTGAATCTTAAATCCAATGGACAGGCGCACGGTTGATCGCAGTGTTATCTCTTTTAGGGAACCAGCATCAGTACGCTCATGCTTTCGCCTTTGCTTCACAGCGAGGTCCTTTTTTTACTGGTCCTCTGGTGGATCCACTTCAGCCTCTATCGAATCCCCTTCAACCATTATCAAATCCATTACAACCACGAGATCCACTTTCATCATTTAGACACGCAATGCCTGGCAACTGTCAAAGTAAGTGAATTTACAAAAAAATATATATTTAAATAAAAAAATATTTTTTTCAGGAAATTTTTTGTGAAAATTTTCTTTAGATGCTTTACAATTTTTTCGATATATTTTTTTAAGTATTTGGTATTTTTTATTTTAGATATTTTTAGGTGACAGCGGTGGGAATTTTCTAAAAAAAAATTCTATTTTCTGTTAGATGCTGAAATATTTTGAACTATATCTTTTTATTTTTTTGGTAAAAATTAATTCGTATTTTTGAAAAATTGAGCGTTAATTGATAGTCACTTAACTATCAGTTCACTTTTCTTCACTTCGAAAGTGAACTGAAGTGAAGAAAGGTGAACTGAAAGTAAATTGAAATGAAATTGAAGTGAAACTTAAGTGAAAAAAAAGGTGAAAGTGAAGTAAAATTATAGAATTGCTCCCCTAGGTGACAGCGGTGGGATTGTTAAAATTTTAACGTATCTTTAAATATCTATAAACTATTTTTATTTTAGAAATTTGGCATGTTTGAACAAAAAGCAAGAGAGCTTTATATTAGAGAATCCAATGGTTTCCCTCATCAAACATATTGGCAATATTTGTACATTAAATATATATATGTGTGTACAATAATCCTTCTCAAACCCATTTCTGATCTTGTATGTACACAAGATCAAAAATGAGTAGACTCACTTTTCTCTCTCTCACTCTCTCTCTATGTATATATTCATATAACATTTTGAATCCTGTCCTGGTTGTTAGCGAGACAACTAAAGCTGCTTTTCGTCGAACCAAGGTATCCGAGAATGCTTCCGATGTTTCCCGCTTTTAGTAGTAGCAGCTAAAGGGGGTATATAGTGCAGAGGAGATAGGCCTCAGAGAGCTAGCATCGCCGTTCCAGAGGCAGAAACCGCAAGCCTGTTCAAAGCTAGATTAAATATTATATTAAAGGGGTTGCCGCGAACTCCGACGGGGCTTCGGCGAGCTTCCTCTCACTCGTTCCCGCACACCCAACATATATTATTACTCCTAGATATGAATTTCTACACTGCATCTCCAGATTAGAGGAATATATACTTTCCATCCTTCATCCCACCAGTATAACGTGTAATTAAACCTCTCTCAAGCTAAAAGCACTAGATAATAATGATACATATATATTTATTATTTTACGAATAATAAATGTTTTTTTTATAACTACTGTAAATATAAAGTTGAGGGGGGTGTCGGTTGCAACAAACATTACAAATTATATTTAATATTAAAATTAATTTTTTTTAAATCGAAAATTAAAATTCATATTTTTTATAACTAACTGATAATTAATTAATTTGAAAATATTATTTTTAGATGCAAATAAATTTAATGAAATTTCTCAGATGCATTTATAAAATTTTAATAGCTTCACCAAAACCTCCAGTTATTTTCCAATATATAAACGAAATTAAGCTCTTCAAATATTTTCTTTATCATGTATTAATTCTATATACCGTTGAGGAAAAATTTCACCAATATTTTCGTGTGTATTTCCAATAAATTCAGAAAAGCCAATCACTTATTTGATGATATAAAAAGATATATTATGGAAAGAAGATTTGTTTCTTTTTTTTGAAATTATTATCAAAACATCATTAATAATGGAATTTAAATATTTTATAATTCTAAGTAGAAAGAGGAAAAAAAAAAAGGAACAATTTTTAGATCGCGGTGAAAATATGTTGATGTTGGATATTTAGGGTTAGCCATGGTCCACGATGGGTCAGTGGCGTTCGTTCGAGGCAAGCCTCGCAGTTATTTGAGTTGGCTGTAGCCACTGAGGGATGACCGATCCTTTGATCTCGTGGAACCCTCTCGGCTCTGTCTAGCTCAAACCCCTACCAATTCCCCTTCCTTTTTACCCCTTTCTACACACACTGGAAAATCCTATCACAGACTATGTTTTTTTGTAAATTATAACAAAATTGCCAAACCTGTCGATAAAAATTCACTAGTTTTATTTTTTTTTATTTTTATAAAAACTCAAAAATAATAATAATAAAAAAAAAATAAAAACCGCGGTCTCTTTTGTCTCTCTCGGTCAATTGTCATTTTCTCCACTTGACAGTCAATTGATGGCTCATCACTTTCTGTCAGTGACAATGAAGGAAAAAAATAGAAACGTTATTCAGTTTGAAATTAAAATGTAGATTTTTTTTTATAAATAAAATACACTTGTTTTTTTTGCCAATTTTTATAAATATAATTTTATGATTATAATTTTACAAACTTAATTTTATAAATATTTATATATTATATTTATATATTTACAGAATATTTTTAAATTAGTTCGATTTTTGGTTATTAAAAAAAAAGGGGGGGTTGTTTTTTTTTTCTCGCAGACATGTCGCAATTTGGATTGACGGCAGGTAATTCATGGGGTTATGGTAGCACTGCAGGTTATGCGGGATATCTTCCAGGACCATTATCGTCGTGTGCGGCGCAAGCACCGTTTCCACCGCCCCCGCCTCCACCACCGCCACCTCCGCCTCCAACGTCGTCACTTGCATCTTTTGCAGGTACTGCATCAATGAATACACCAACGGCACCCGATTCAACAGCAGGTTCCACTGTAACTTCCGGTACAACTGGTACCACACCTCAACAAGATGCATTCTCCTCCGTCTCTTCACGTGAGTCGTCTTTTTTTTTTGTCTTGTCATTCCAAAATCCACTGGAAAATCTGAACTGTTTTTTTGGTTTAAATTTTTTTTCTCAAAAAATTTGATTCTCTTCAGGACAATTTTTTATTTTTCTAATTTTGGATTAATTTTCATCAAAGATTTTGATTTTTCCCCGAGATAGATTTTTTTTTTTATGTCTTCAGTAGTACCAGACACAACAACACCGGGTCAGGCCGATCCATTGGATCCATTGAGTACATTAATGGGCAGCGCAGCCTCACAAAGGTATCAAGAATATGTCTCACCACGTTCATTATCAACTGATTCAAGTACAACTGAGAGTCCAGTTCATGAGGAGCAAAATTTTGGACAAAATTATGGAAATTATTTTCCAACACCAAGCGTTTTACCAAGTATTCTCTATTCACAACTTTATGGAAATCAATTTCCAAATTCCGAAAGTTCTGAACAAAGATCAGTTGGCGACAGTTGTAATGTACGACAAGAGGAAGTTAGGCCCGACAATAATGTTTGGCGGCCATACTGAAAACGAACTAACAGAAGTCACTATTTTGTGCTTCAACATTTTTATCCAATGCCTTGAGCCCTAAAAAAAAAATAATAATAATAATTAAACCCTCTCTAATAAAGACTGTGACAAAATGACTTAAAAAAAAAAAAAAAAAAAAAAAAAATTGATTCATTCGAACTGTGGGCATTACCCGGATTCGACATCTAAAAATAAATTTTTTTGTTCTTATTTTGGATATATTAGTAATTTAAAAAAAATAATTCTGGTTGTGTATCGTCGTCAACGAATCTTAGAGAGAGAGCGAGAGAAAAGAATGTGCCGTAAAATCTTTTTTTTTTTTTTGAGTTCAAGTATTTACGGTAATAGTATGGATGCGTGAGAATGAGAAAAAAAAATGGCACAATAATTGAAAATTGTATATATTTGTAAATAGTTGATAGAATATTGTCGTCCCATCGAACTGTAATCGCAATTTTAAAAGAAAAAGACCGAGAGATTAACTATTTCTTTAATTATGTTTCATAGTATATTTACAATATTATAGTTATTGTACGTTGGTATTTGAAGGGTTTGTGCAATAATTTATTGAGTTTCCCAATGGTAAAAATGCAAAAAAAAAAAAGAAGTGTTCATCTCGTTCTGCCTTGAGTGAAAGCGAAACATCGACATCAAGTATGTGATTATTGAAAATTTAAAAAAAAATGTACTTTCGAATTTCATTTTAAATATGCATCCCCGTAAATTATTTTTTTTTAGGGGATTTTACATCGAAATTTAAAAAAAAATCAATTTCTTTTCTTATAAATAATTTACAAAATTTTGTTTACAATTTGAAATTTGTTCATCTTGACTAATTATTTACGATACACATATCTACCGACTATTGTTACAGTAGTTTTTGACTGAGTCGAATAAAGTGTATTTCAAAATATCACGATTGTTATTTCTCTAACCTGAATTTCTTTTCATTTCAATAATAAATTTTGTTCAAAAAAATAAAAAAGAAAATTATGTTTTATATATGAAAAATGATAGTTTCAAGATTGTCTTTTTATTTTTGTTATTAAAAATTCAAAACCCACCTCTAGAAGCAGTTCATCCCTAATTGCCTTTCCATTTTCACCCTCGTTTTCAGAAGCATATGTTCGCACTACCAAGTTACACGACTAACAGGACGAATCTCTACAAAGGATTCTCCGACGTGAGAGCGAGAGAGAGAGATCCTAAAGGATTTCTACTGACGAAACTGCATGCAAATTCGTGAAAGATTTAATTAAACCTACTGGATGAACTTTCTGCTTCATGTTATCTCACACCAAAAAGTTATATGTTAAAGGAAAAGGTTATAAGGGGGGAAAATTTTTTTTTTTTTTTTTAAATATCCAAGAGCAGAAAATTCATTTTAAAATTTCTTTGATATTAATTTTTAAATATTTGATGTAAAAAAAATTTTTTCAAAATTAAAAAACGCGAAAGAAGGAGCAAAAAAAAGTATTATAGGTTATGTTCATGATTTAGTAAACGTTGCTAAGGAAAACAAATCCTTAGGAAAAAAAAATTCTTAGCAACCGTTCCCGTGTAGAAATTGCCCTATCAGGGCCACATCAGGCGCGGCGTTTCATTCCCTAATAGGGCAGCCTGATCCGGCCCCGACCTGGACCCTGGTAAAATTTCTACACAGGCAATGCTAAGGAAAAAAAAAACTTTAGCAACCGTTGCTAAAGAAAAAAATCCTTAACTGTACGATGGACCGACGGACAGACTCACGCCAAAGCAAAACTATAATAATTTCGGGCCCATGGAAAAAAATTTCTTTTTTAAAATTATGAAATATTTAAAAATTAACATCTATATTATAAAATAAATAAATTGTAATACTAAAATTGTTTTTTTTTAAATGTGGCTAGTAAAATTAAAATGAAAATCATATTTCTTTTTTGTGGGGTAAAACATAAAATGATGGACATTATCTGGTATATACTGTTTTGAGAGAAAGTGACGTGCATTCTGATGGACGTAGAGTGATCATCAGTGGGTGGAGTTAGGTTTATACGCGGTGCTGGCATAATGGAGTAGAGTGGAGCAGAGTATGGATAATGGAGTATGGAGAATAGTACATATATATATATATAGAGAGAGAGTGAATATAGCATGGTCCCGCGATGCAGTGTGCGAGAGAGAACACAATCTGGGTATGGCTCGTTGGTTCGTGCAGTTGGCCATACCGATTTATCGTTCTGCCATCTGCACTACCGATTCACGGTAAATTCCCGGGTCGCCCTACACTCGGTCGCGATTTTTCAACCCACCAAAATACCAGCCGCTTCCTAATGATAATTACATGACAGTACCGAATGACCGCGTCGAATCATTAAACTCCTAATGAGAGAGAGAGAGAGAAAGAGAGTGAGAGAGTTGCCATATCACGCAAAAATCGACATGTTAAACCACTGAACCTTTAAAAGCCACAATTGACAAAAATATACTAATCAATGATATTTCCATCGAAAATCATTAGAAAAAAATTATTATTCATTTAAAATATAATAATAAAATTGCGATCTTAAAATGGACCTAAAATACAAAACATTATAGGTTATGTTTGTGATTGATTCTCAAACAATCATAAACATAACCTACATTTTTTTTACATCCTTCTTTCTTCAGTGCGCATAACAAATACAAAAAACTTTTCTTTCTTTCTTCTTCTTACCAAAAGAATATTTTTTTTCAAAAGTATAAATTTTCTTGCCCCAAAAAAAGGAAAAACATTTATTCTATATAAAAAAAAAAATTTTCTTGTAATTAGAAATATTTTTGAAACGTCAATAAAAAGTTAAAAATAACCGCTAAACTGTGAAAAGCGCAAGCAAAGTGTCGTGTCGTTTGGAAAAGGGTTAATAAAATTTATCGGTCAAGTCGTTAAATTTAAAAGAAAAAAAAGTAAAAATAAAAAAACAAAATTCAATAAACAGAGTATACACAACAGATGGGCACAAAAAGCCATAACGTGTTAACGAGCAAAATTTTCGAGAAAATCGTGAAATAATGAATGCATAACCCCACACCCTCAGCGCGACTAAATCGATGAGTTTCGCATTACGGCAATATGTGTATGTGTGGCATTAGTTTTGGGTAATGTGATCAGCACCAATAAAAGAGGACAAGAGGAGGCAAAAAAAAGAATGTTGAATGAAGAAAAAAATAAAATAAAAAATCGAAAAATGTCCCAGAGCCCTACATATTGGGTTTCAGTATATATATATACACACACACCATTATATATGTAGTTTTATGCATAGAACGCACACGTGGCTTTCTCGTTAAGGGAGAAAAGCCAGCCTATATAAAGAGAGAGATAGAATATATATATAGAAGGATACTCTGGTCGTTATGTGCACCGGTCACTATATACATATATACTTAGTGACTACCGCTGCCCCGTGGCTATCGACAACGACCCCATGCAAAATCACCCTTTGTCGTACAACTCGATGGGAAATTACTTTTTGTCCGTCGATTACGGGGTGAATTTTCGAGAGCGACGGGACCCGATCATTTCCACGGTAGCCGGAAAGGACGAGAAATTATCGAAAGAGTTAATCCTCAGTTTCACTATCTATATATCAATTCTGTTCACTTTAATAAAAAACTTAATTATATCGCCTTATTCCTTTTTATATTTGAAATAAATAAGTATTTGACATAACTATTGTATTTGAAACAAATACAACATTTTTTGACATAAAAAAAATCTCTCGTTCTCATTTTAATTCTATTTCTAAAAAAATGATTGTTTATAATACATATTTTATCATAGAATAAAATTAAAGTTGTTTATATGAATTTTAGATCCGTATATATATATAGAGAGAGTGGATGTGTTGAATTTCTGAGAGATCGTGCGAGACATGACTGGAAACAGAAATAAGTGAGACTTGAGGAAGTGCGCCCAAGGGGCCTCCAGCCCTTGATTACCAAGATCTTCATCTACATGCTAAACATTGCTCCTCCGTTTCTGTCTTGAATACTCTTGTACTTATGTATGTATCTAGATCTGTTGAGCCTAGCTTCTCCAAACCTTCCTTCTTAGTAGACTCTCCCACGGAATTTAACGAACCCCACTCCTATGCATTTCAACTCTCTCTCACCCCCTCCTCCCACTCTCAGTGTGTACCTCATACTCCACTCAGTTTTCGCGAAAATACATTCTCATTCCATCTATGTGATGTTTGCTTAGATTAAATTAACCGACCGGGTGCCTCCCTTTGTTTCTCATTCACTGTATATAGAGTGGGATAAACTGAAAAAGGGTCCAAAAAAAGTATACGCAAAACAATATTTCATTTGATTAACATATATTATTCAATATATATAAATTCCATTTTCCTTAAACAGACAACTTCGTTGCAATTTCTTGCACAAAATACACCTAAAAGTGTAGAAAAAAATTGACAGCCCGATCCGAGTAGAGGAACACTAATTTTATGACCATTAAAGCGATTTTCGTCAAAAAAAATTTTCAAAAAAATTCAATTTTTCTTAGGCACACTATTTTATTGCAATTTCTTGCACAAAATACACCTACAAGTGTAGAAAAAAATTGACAGCCCGATCCGAGTAGAGGAACACTAATTTTATGACCATTAAAGCGATTTTCGTCAAAAAAAAATTTTCAAAAAAATTCAATTTTTCTTAGGCACAGTATTTTATTGCAATTTCTTGCACAAAATACACCTAAAAGTGTAGATAAAAATTGACAGCCCGATCCGAGTAGAGGAACACCAATTTAATGACCATTAAAGCGATTTTCGTCAAAAAAAAATTTTCAAAAAAATTCAATTTTTCTTAGGCACACTATTTTATTGCAATTTCTTGCTCAAAATACACCTAAAAGTGTAGAAAAAATTTGACAGCCCGATCCGAGTAGAGGAACACCAATTTTTTGACCATTAAAATGATTTTTGTAAAAAAAAAATTTTCAAAAAAATTCAATTTTTCTTAGGCACACTATTTTATTGCAATTTCTTGCACAAAATACACCCAAAAGTGTAGAAAAAAATTGACAGCCCGATCCGAGTAGAGGAACACCAATTTTATGACCATTAAAGCGATTTTCGTCAAAAAAAAATTTTCAAAAAAATTCAATTTTTCTTAGGCACACTATTTTATTGCAATTTCTTGCACAAAATACACCTAAAAGTGTAGAAGAAAATTGACAGCCCGATCCGAGTAGAGGAACACTAATTTTATGACCATTAAAGCGATTTTCGTCAAAAAAAATTTTCAAAAAAATTCAATTTTTCTTAGGCACACTATTTTATTGCAATTTCTTGCACAAAATACACCTACAAGTGTAGAAAAAAATTGACAGCCCGATCCGAGTAGAGGAACACTAATTTTATGACCATTAAAGCGATTTTCGTCAAAAAAAAATTTTCAAAAAAATTCAATTTTTCTTAGGCACAGTATTTTATTGCAATTTCTTGCACAAAATACACCTAAAAGTGTAGATAAAAATTGACAGCCCGATCCGAGTAGAGGAACACCAATTTTATGACCATTAAAGCGATTTTCGTCAAAAAAAAATTTTCAAAAAAATTCAATTTTTCTTAGGCACACTATTTTATTGCAATTTCTTGCTCAAAATACACCTAAAAGTGTAGAAAAAATTTGACAGCCCGATCCGAGTAGAGGAACACCAATTTTTTGACCATTAAAATGATTTTTGTAAAAAAAAAATTTTCAAAAAAATTCAATTTTTCTTAGGCACACTATTTTATTGCAATTTCTTGCACAAAATACACCTAAAAGTGTAGAAAAAAATTGACAGCCCGATCCGAGTAGAGGAACACCAATTTTATGACCATTAAAGCGATTTTCGTCAAAAAAAAATTTTCAAAAAAATTCAATTTTTCTTAGGCACACTAT